AACGATGATTCTTTCATGCTGTAAGAGAGCTTAACCAACATACTCGTGTGGGTCTATTCAAGTTGTTTGGGCTGCTTGGTTGCTCGCATATCTGCGAAGTCTGAGGCAGTGCAAACTTTGCAGGATGCTTCAGAGTGGGGACGATGTTCGATTGGACCTTTGCACCCCAGATAGCAATGTCCCACGCTACCAGCTGTATGTGTGTGACAGACCATCGGTCTCCGCCGCTTCCTTAAAGTTTGCCATCTTCATCGTCCCCCAGGGAAGGTAAGATAACTTTATAAAAAATATTTAATGATGCTCTAGGCTGTAATAAGGTGGTGAACTGGGCCAGTTGGTTGATGTTATACATGACGGGGAAAACAGCTCAGAAAATGCAGACTACGAAGAACAAAGCATTGTCTTGTCGTGTTTGTTCTTCCTCATAGTCCGCGTTTTCTCAGCTGTTTTCCCCATCATGGATGCTTCAGGCATTTAAGATTGAAAAATGAATTCCTGAAGAGTAATTCCAGGGCCCCAGAAGATTATGAAGCAAGGTACATGATGTCTATAGTCCGTTGCAACTCAAGAACGAAGGGCGTGGGTAAAATGGGCCGGGGAGGAGGAAGCAGACGGAATGCTGGAGAAGAGAGGGGGAAACCCTCCTTCTCTGTTTAGCATTCAGTCTGCTTCCTCCTCCCCTGCCCATCTTACCCTCACCCTTCATTCTTGAGTTGCAACGGACTGTGGCAACAATGTCGTCATCGGCTGTGTGCTACAAACTATATGCTATCTCATTGACCCAATTATTCTACTGCAGCAGCAGTTGCTAGAAAATGAAGTTCTCTAAGCTCAAAAAACAACTGGTTGCTAGGTTACAAGTGTCGAGACCAGTCATTTGTTCCGTGTTTCCCTTGATGGTCTTTGCCTTGAGTGCCAAGCTTGAAAGTTTTTGTGAAGTTGGTTTCTTTGATGCTCGTTTGATATGTAGAGAGGCCTCAGGGAGCACTTGCAAGTATCAACATGAAGTAGCTTCAATTCAGAAAAACTTTCAGCCTTTCCACTCTGGTGAAGGAGCAAGACCAGCGGAGCCGTACAATGGAAAGTAATTGCCGGCCGCAAGTCGGCTTGCCAGAGTGGAAAGGCTGCCGCCATCTACAAGTGACGGCGGCAACCAGATACGGGACTTGCTGCCGTCGCTCATAGATGGCGGTAGGTGTCCGAAGTACGGTGTCTTCACTTTTTTGCGGGGTACACGATCCTGGGGAAACTAGCCCTTAACAGCTCCGCTTTAAGAAAGTAAACAACTGCTCAGCTATCACAGTATGATGCAAAGAGCTTCCCAACCTTAAAGAGAAAAAAAGTAGGTGCACATGTGAGCTAGCAAAATTAAAATGTGATTTGATAGGATGGAAGCTTGGGCGAGTTGGTGAACCATACTTGACGGTGACAGCGCAGGAAAAATCAATCTCACACCAGACACTCAAGAAAACAAGCACTTACAGCCGTGGCAGAGGATTTATTAAAGAGAATAAGATGGGGTGAACGACCTAAACGCAATACAGAAAAGAAAAGGACGGCCGTTGTTCCATATATACATAAAGTTTCGCACGGTCTAAAAAAGATAGGTAACCGCATTAACATTAATGTTGCTTTTTCAGCACCAAATAAGCTTCTAAGCCTGTGCAGGAAGGTAAACCGATCGGCACACCGGGAAGTTGGTTGTTCGAAAACGCACCAAAAGAGCTTTGTAAATTGTACTGAAGGAGTCGTATATTCTGTCCCACTCTCATGTGGTAGAGAGGATATAGGCCAGACTGGAAGGTGTCTGAATGATCGTTTAAGAGAGCATTTTTATAACACCCACCGAGTCGTAGCTGGACACTTGGGAATCCATTGTCGCGATTGTGGCTGTGTAGCACATTTTGAAAATTGTTCTGTAATAGGTAGGAGTAGAAACACATTGATTAGAGAAATAATGGAAGCGGAAAGGATAGCACAGCTGAAGGACAAGTGTGTAAGTAGTCCTTCTATAGCGCTGTCGACCAAAGACCTCCAATTTCTATCTAAATGATAGCGATGAGGGAGAGGGACGATTTGTAAAAGTGTTTCGTTTAGATATTTTTTTCCGTTTCTTAATTTTTCTTTTTGACTGTTCTTTTGCCTTCTCTTTAGAATTTTCTTTTGTATTTCATGCTACTTCTTCTACTTATCACGTTCTGAAAATTCAACCCAGACGTTGAAGAGAAAAATGAAGTAATCGAATACACAAGAGTTGTAAGTTCAGCGCGTGTGCTTGTCTTCCTGAGTGTCTGGTGTGAGATTGATTTTTCCTGCGCTGTCACCGTCAAGTTAAAATGTGATACCGAGGAAGCAGGAAAAGTATACATAAAAATCAATGACATATATTACCATCTGTGACTGTGTGTGGCATCCTTCTTGTATTTTTACAGCGGAGCTGTTAAGGGCCAGTTTCCTCAGGATCGTGTCCATTTTCAAACATCCTAATGACACATAACTCTGGACACCTACCGCCTGCTATGAGCGACGGCGGCAATAAAGACAACTAGTGGTTGCCGCCGTTGCTCATAGATGGCGGCAACCTTTCGAGCCTTTCCACTCTAGTTTGCCAACTTGCAGCCGGCCATTACTTTCTTCTTGGTCCTCGTCTGTTTTTCGCGCCATTTCCTACGCTATCATCAGTTGTCGTTCGGACTCACGATGGGTCGGCTGTGTGCCCTTTCTTCGGAGGAAGAAGAGTTGGAGTGGAAGGAGCAGTGACTTGCACAGCAGCGTGAATGGTTCCACAATTGTTGCGAAGCCACTATCGCCTCAAGTTCCACTGCTTCGAGCGCTTCAGATTCTCTTCCGAAAGAAGAGCAGATTGTTCGCCTGGAAAGCCACCACCGAGAACAGAAGCTACACATCCGCTGCTCTTCCTTCTTCACCAGAGTGGAAAGGCTGAAAGTTTTTGTGTGTCTTTCTGTTTCCTTGGTAGTATCGGATCATGGTTGTGTTTTCAACGACCTTATCAAACTCCAAATCTCTTGAATTCAAATTTTTGTGACAGCCAAACCTTTCAGCATTTAAACCTGTCAAACTGAAGCCTCTGGAAAGGTTTGCAATATATGAATCACTCGGAACTCAAACCACTTACCGAGTTTGAAACCCTGGCACTTTCAAGCTCTAACATTGGGAGGTTTGCAACATCAGTGCCGGATTCTCACCAATGCTTTGCTTTCATCTGTCCTCAGAGAAACGGAGTGGTTGTTTGGGAACACGGAAGGCAGGAGACAGCTTGCGGAGTCGTGCTCCGCAGAGCGCCTCGTGGTGGTGCACTTGAGCCGTGGACACAGCTACTCCGGGCTCGAGCAAGTCAAGACAGAGCTGTCCCAGAAGGTCATGGAACTGGCTCCGGCTTCGCACACCACCGGGAAACAGGTCGGCAAAAAGAAAACCATGCACGGTTTACGTCTTCTTAAAAGCAACAAATTGGTCTTTGGGCATCAGGGAGATGGGCGGCCGAGTGTGCTAGTGCACCGCAGCTCGGTGCACTAGCACACGGGGAAAAAGCTTGCACCACAGAACTTTAAGATCCCGGGCTCAAACTCCGCCCCCCCCCCCCCCCTCGATCTGATCCGAACGAGCGTCGTATTGGCATGGGGTCGTGTATCACCGCCAGGTGGTGCACGTTAACCCCTTAACTGGGGACTTTTTCTACCAAAAATATCTGTAAAATGGGGAGTTTTTTTTAAGTGTTTCTGACTCTCGAAGGTATAACAATAATTTCAAAACCTATAACAAATTTATTTATATCAAGTTGGATGGACACCCCGAGACTTCCTATGATCCGAAATGGATCTTTCACTATGCTGGCGTCTTGCCAGGTCACATCAGACCACAAAGTTGATGGTGTTTCCATAAACAATTGTTCCACTGTGACATCTTCAATTTTCATGTTGAATGCCGGGAAGAATTCCATCGAACTCGAGAAATCAACATCGCAGTCGCTGTCCTTGCGAGTATTTTGCAGCAGCTCAGCAATTTCTTCGTCGGTCAAGAGACGCGCTGGTGTTTGCTAAACGCCATTTCCCAAAAAAACAGTCAAAGGTGTCGTACAAGAGTTATCAATCTTTTTTTTTTTTTTTTTTTTTTTTTTTTTTTGTTTTTGTTGCCATATATGCAACGTTTTTGAAACTAAATATGGTTTTCGATACATGAGGATAGATGGTGCATCCTACCCACACGCTAAATTGAGCGAGCGTTTAAAGACGCCCTTCCCAACAGCAAAGAAAGAGCAGCGCATCTTTAGACGCACCCCCCAATCTGCAATCAAAATTGATGTGCGTCTATAGACGCGCTCCCCAGTTAAAGGTTAAGGACCCCTGGCTAGCGAGATACCACACTGGCTAAATTTCTCATTCACACCGGACGCCCATTAGGGCCGACTAACTTCCCGCTGGCTAAGCATACACGCAACACGACTACTTTTACTTTCAGGGTTGGCAGGGAACGGGTAAACTATATCTAAGGAAGTACTTAGGGTAGACTTGACGACTCGTGGCTCCTGCGCATGATTTCCCCATTGAAGGTCCCTTTCCTGTCGACGAGAGACAACGTCGGCCACCGGGAAGTGAGGCACAGCGGCACGAGTGCCCTGAGTGGCGACTACCTGGTCGAGGACGTCTCCCTCGACGGAGACGTCGTTGTGAGGCGCCTCATTTTCCTCGACAAGCCCCACGTCGTCCAGTCGGAGGCACGGCTGAAGCAGGGTGGGTGACCCGGTCGACCGACCTGTAATCCCCGACGAGGCGAGAAAGGCAGGGAGGGGCTTCGGTCGTCCCTCGTCCAACGCGAGCTTCCCATGTTCAACTACTCGGTGCCTCATGCACCCAGAGCGTGCGCGTAGCCAGGGCACAGCGCGAAGCTTGAAGCCTGGCTGTTCGAAAGACGTGCCCTGCCATTCTCATTCTGTTAGTTAGTTCATGAAACCGACAAGGAGGGAAATTTTGCCTTTGTCCGAGTCGTTCGGTATACGTACAATAGAAAATACTGTGGCACAAAAAAACTGAACGCTTTTAAGGCACTTTAGACGGCCTGCGAAAATCAATTTCTTGACGTATTGCGCTGCGATTTACTACGGAAGTGCAAGCAGGTGGCGGGAATTTACAGTGAAAAAAAAGGAATGCACTTAACTAGATCAAAATAAAAAATACGGAAGCTTGTTCCGGGCAATCTACGGCACCACTTAGCAGACGACGCACGCATAGAGAGAAGTGCTGCCGACAGGTGGCATACGCCGTGTCGAGGGAGCGCCGACCTATTCAGGTGACGGCGGACGATCCCGCAAAAGAGTCCGAATTGGCCGGTGCTCCCTCGGGCGCGGTGTACGCCATCTGTCAGCAGCACTTCTCTCTACGCGTGCGTCGTCTGCAAGGTGGCGCCATTGATTGCCCAGTACAGGTTTCTGTTCTGTTTGTTTTTTGAACGAGGCAAGTTTATTTCTTGACTTTTTAACCGTAAACCTTCATCCATCACCTGCTTGCACCTCTTTAGTAAGTTGAAGCGCAATACGTTGAGAAACCGATTTTTGCGAATCGTCTAATATGAGTCAAAAGCTTTAGTTTACCTGATGTAGTAGACAATACTAAGACTGCAAGTTTGGCTATTTGGTTCCGATTCATAATAAAAATATACGCAAAAACAAAACAAAAAATTAGGACAAGATGAGTGGCACACAGGACAGGGCATTCTGTCTTATGTACCACTCATCTTGTCCTCGTTTTTTGTGGCTTGTTTGTGAAAAAGGCCTGTACAGTATAACCTCGTTACAGCCTATCTGGTTACCGCATACTTTCAGTTATAAGGTACCAATTCGTGAAGTTTGGTTGGTCTTCTATTTATGCCATAGAGCCAACTTCGCTTATTACAGATTCTGTTACAACATACTTTCGGATATATAGGGTGTCCCCAGTCACCAGGCTCGATCTAAAATTGACCGTAAAAATCAACGCCTGCTTGAGCAATTAAACTTTTCGTCACAGGTGTACTTCACGGGTCTGTTTTATCTTGTAAAATTACAAAGCATAGCTCCCTTTCTGTAAAACATAGGACTAAAAAACTTGCCAAGGTCAACAGCGGATGGCGACACAGATGACCAAGTCAAGTTGTGCGGTGCGTTTGGCATGCATATTGATAGATGGCGTCAGGAGCAGCGTCCAAAGGTGTAGCCGACCAGCGAAGGAAAGCAGACGACACGCAGATGAAATTTGTTGGCAGCAAAAGCGCCGTGGTTATGCAAACACTTTTTTTTTATTTAGGTTTTGCTTTTATTTTTCGCATATTTTTTTTTTTAACCAAAGGCACATTACTAAAAGATTATGTTCATTTTAATAAACCACGGTGGTCGCGAGTAGTTACGACTAGAGTTATTGTATAGGATCCCTACGGGACCCAGAGTTGCGCTTCTGTTTTCCACGTGCCGCCGCGCCGCTATTCGCCGAGATCCGATCACGTGAGAACTTGGATCAAGTGCCGTGCAGGAAAGTAGACGTTGCACACGCCCCGGCGTACGTTCCCCTGCTTTTGAGCGCGCCGCACGCCTCGAACGCGGGGTGCCGCTATTTGTCGAATTCAGTCACGTGACGAGCGGGATCAACATGCCGTGCAGGAAAGACGGCGCTACAGAGATGAATGCGCAACTCTGGACCCCGTAGGGAGCCTATACAGGAACTCTAGTCCCGATAAGGAGGTGGCGCCATCTATCAATACGGGCGCCAAACCTGCCCCATTACTCGACTTGCTCGTCTGCGTCGCCACCTGCCGTTGACCCTGGCAAGTTTCTTGACCCTATTTGTTACAGAAAGAGAGCTACGCTTTGTAATTTTACAAGAAAAAAACGACCTGTGAAATACACCTTTGACGAAAAGTTTAGATTGCTACGTGCAGGCGTTGATTTTTACGGTCCATTTTAGATCGAGCCTGGACACTTAGGACACCCTATAATGGACTACGTTAGGGAGGTTTTAAGTAGTTCAACCTTTTATTATAGAGGACACTTCAACAGCGGTCATTGTTTTGGATATTGTGTGGCTTTAGTTTGGTAGCAGTGGCATCCATTTTACAAACTGCTGTCACTGCGCTCATAGCCTTGCGAACCCCGTGTGACCCAAAGCGTGCAGTGATGACAATCATCGGTACAGCTCAATAAAATGACAATCATTGGTACAGCTCAATAAAAAATCAATACCTTTCAAAGTTCAGAAGTTACAATAAACCAGTTCTTTTCTAATATCCATTCAGATTTTGTCAGTTTCACTAGTTAGAACAGACTCCAGTTATAATCGAAGTCTAAGTCTGTAGTAAAAGTATCGGGTTCTGCATACTTCTTTTACAATAGACCAAAATCTTCATCACCACCAAGGTCTTTTATAACGAGTTTATTCTGTATAGTGTGTTCTATACTGTTCCACAGTGTGTGCAGAAAGTTGATAGTTGCCGTTTATGGAATCAGGTCACAAATGTAAAAAGACTCAAGAACGCTATCTGCTGGTGCCTCGTCATCTGCTCGATTTCCTCTTCCTTTACGTGTGACAGTGATCATTTTGTGACAGTGATCGTTTGACAGTGTGACAGTGATCGTTTTGGGAAAGTAGTTGCGTAGGTTTTGTTCTTGAAAGGCTTGCGCCATCTGCCGAGAAATATGACACAAAGGCACTCTCTTTGGTTTGAGTTCTACAGTGGTATAAATAAGAAAAATAGAAGCTTGGGAGATTCCCCATTCCAGCTGTTTGCTTCCAAAAGGATCTATCTATTAGGACTTGCGTTGTAATGCAGCGGGCGCCTGGGTCGGCATACATTCATCGCTCCAGACGTTATTGAGGAGTCCTAGCATGTGTCCTTGGTTGTAGGTGGCTGAATGCTGTGTCCAAGCAAAAACAAGTAGAAAAAAAAAAAAAAAAGGGTAGAAGAGGGTGCCTACATCTTAAAGTGGAAGATTTTTAAGATCCTGCACTTGTGAGCTAGTGAAATCTAATTCATGCCCTTTTGTGGTTTCCCTCTACAGTAAAATCTAAAAAGAAAGGCAGAAGTGGCAACAAGACTTTTGAGGTGGACGTGAACCATCTGTGCTGCGAATACTACAAGTACATGGTGGCTGGCCTGGCATTTGTCATGCCAAGGGCTACTGGTATGTGTGATGCATCTTTACCGGTTCCCGGTCGAAATCTGCTGCTGGTCTCCCTTGGAGACTCATTCACGAGACTTTTTTGGGGTTGCAGAACACAAAGCTACAGCCCTGTTGGTGGGACTTGGTGGTGGCACCCTGTCAATGTTTCTGACCACAAAGTTTCCAAAGGTAAGTTTCGGGTGTTGGAGTGTGAAATACTGGCAAGCTTCTGTGTCCTACCATGTGACACAGCAGTTTAAAAATGCTCGGTAGTTATGGAGGTGTATAGAATTTATGCTTCATCTATTGATGCTCTCTGCAAGGCAAACTGATTTTACCTTCAAAACATTTAAGGGGGGACCCTGGTCATTAACATTTTCCTGTTATCTCTGATCTTATTAATATTGCATTATCACGTCTACTGTAAAATCCCAAGAGAGGCCCCACCCCTGAAAGATAGCTCATGCCTATTTTTTGCTTTTTAATTTTTTTTTACTATACTTACTTTTTCAACACCTAAAGATAGCCCAGAAATAGTAGTGTTGGGATTAATGATGGCCTCGGCATAAATGCGGCTAGTTCGCTATGGCGGGATATAAGCGAATGTTGCTGACTAAGATGTACGGTCATCTTTGCTTTGTTGCCTTTTGCCACCATAACAAGCTTGGAAGGTCCACAACCTAGAAATAGCAATTTTTTGAAACTTGCCTTGATTGTACACCGAAAGTCAGCCCACTCCATATTTTCAGCCGATGTGCTCTTGATGTTAGGTGGGCTATCTCTCGGGATTTTAAGGCTCTTAAGTTTTGTGCTAAGCACAAACAAAGCTCTATTTTTCCTTTTTATTATAGTTTTCAAGGAAACCTCTACTTTATCACAAATGCTTTGGCTAAACGTTTTACAATAATCATATAAAGAAAGATGGCACGAAGTATGTCAGCAGGTTCTACAAACAGCAAAGAATGCAATAAAACAATCGTTTTAATTTTAGCATTATTTTAGAAAAGTTATCACAAGTTGAAATTTTTTTGCTCATAATTAGAAAGGAGGTATTCAAGTCTATGCCAGTTAGAACATTTTGTTTCATCTCCCAGCAATAGTAGTCTTGTTGCCTTTTCTGATTTATATGGTATTAAACCCTGAAAAATGTATTCAGGTCCAAGTTCTAGATCCAATGATACCAAGGCAAAACTTTGTGTTGTGATGAAAAAAATTAATTTTCAGAAGACAGGAGAATATTTTTGACACATGCTTTCAAACAGCCTGGATATTAAACATTGAATAGATGTAACTTTATAAATTTGCACTTCCTGAGTGTAGTACTTAAAATACATGTTGTCTGTGACTTATAAATAAATAAAAAAATGATCAAAAAAAGAATTGTCATTTTTGTGTTTTAGGATTAGGGTTTCCCTTCACTTTTAAACCGCTCACTCAATTGGTGTGAAATTTGCAGGTGGTGTTTGTAGACATATAGAAGGAGGGAATGCAAGGTTTCAACATTGTGAACCAATTTTATGAGGCGCTATGACGACTCCAGTGAAATCAACGGCGCGAAGCAACAACGCCGAGAAGCTCAAAAGAGGAGGTCGTTTCGACTCTGTCGTCAGTTATCACTGCTTGTTTCTCGTAGGCAGCATAGAAACAAACATTGTTTCCCGTAATTATTTTTACGCTTCCACCAGGTCATTCCTACGCACTGACGAGAAGCTTTCACCGTCAAAAAATCGCTTTGCTTTGATATGTAACACCGATTTTATGCTGCAGTGCAAGAAATGTATGGTGGGCCGTGCTGAATGACGAAAACGACCTCGTTTCTCCCTCCATTTTGCCTAACCAGCACGCCCCCTACAGTTTGCTGGAGTCGCGAATACCCCCAGAATGAAGAAAAGCACGGCTTGGCATAGAATCTGCTTGATAGACCTTTTGCAAAACGTACAGCGCCACGACAGCAGGGAATTTTGGGAACCCTCGGTACAGATCACGCGCTTTCCCATTGCGCCTCCGCGACTGCGTGCGCTTCCCGGCAGCTACCACCAGCAGCCATCCGCCATCCCGCCCATCCGCCGAGTCTTATTGTCGTTGGCGGCGTACCATATCTGTGGCAGCGTAAAGGCATCGCGACAAGTGAACTTATTTGAATACGTTATTCGTATAACTTACCTTCATGTATTGAAGTGTCACTGAATCCATTTAGTTTGCATCGCAGCCGTGGCAGGTTTCGACTAGGTTCGACAAAGCGTTGGTGCAGCAGACGACAGAGCCGGTACAAAGGAGAGGGATGAGAAAGGGGCAGCCGTTAGCTCGCCGCTCGCCCGACTTGGCTGTTGTTGCCATGGTAACCTGCGCCTGCTCGCGCATGCTATGTGGTCACGTAGTAGCGGGAGGAGGGGCGTACTGAGGACTCTCATTATTCGGCGTGCGCGGACTTTTGGGATTTTTGCAAAGAGTCTATTAATCTATTGCTTAGAAGCGATGTGGCTAACCACATATTTTCCTGGTTGAATGCATACTGGAATGCCTGTTGCTGGTTACTGTAAAAATAATTTCACAAATAAAGCATTTTTTATCTATAAAAAATGAATGAATTTTTTTTTCTTACATTTACCAAGTTTTGCAAATTACAATTTTTCATAATAAAGGGACATTAAAATGCAAAATCTAAGTTCATAGTAACCGGCTCCATAAAATTTCGGCATATAAGCCACAGGAATTAAATCTCAATAGTCTCATAATGAAACGATAAATTTATTAATTGAAATTTGTGCCAAAAAGTGAAACTGAGAAAAATGCATTCAAAGTGCTTTAACCTCTACTTTTTATTTTGCATTGGTGGACTGCAAATAATTTATAAAAGAAGTAGCTATGCGGTTTAAACAAATGAAACTCTGGTGTCACAGGGTTCTTTGTGGTTAATAATTGACAAGATACAATGACCTTCGTTTTTCTTAAAACATGTATTTACAAAAGAAATCAAAGAGTTCATATGGTTATACTAAAAGAAAAAAAGGAAAACTTAGTAGAAAAAAAAAATTGTAGGAAGGAAAACGCAACTGTCACCATGTCTTTGAGTCACCATGCGCAGCAGCGGGTGTTGTGTCTGGGGCTGTCGTTGTCGGCCGACGGTTGTGGCAGGCAGTCAGGAGCGGGCGCGGTTGGCTTCCGTCGGCGGTCCCAAGAGTCACCGCAACCAGTGCTCGCGCAGCAGGAAGCCGGGCAGCGTAGGTTTCTATGCGCTGCCCTCGCTGGAACAGGCTGCTGGTCAGCAGTAGGAGGCCGCCGATTGCCCTGGCCGATGGTGTCGTTCCACCCTCTGCACGTTCTCTTCGGCCAGTCCTTTTCACGCTCTCCGAGCACGCACTCCAAAATCCCTCTTCTTCGTCATCTTCCTTTCTCCCTCTGGGCCGATCCATGGGTTGACTTGCCCTTCTTCTTTTCCACATTCAGTCACATCATCACAAGGAGCCCCCCTTTAAGTTTTTTTTCTTCAAAATACCAAACAAAAATTACACAGAAAAAAAAAAAACACCAAAACCATGATGATGCGCGCAAGTTCACTGCAGCCTACTAAGACAGTCCGCACCCACATTCTCACTTCTTTCAATGTACTCCACGCGAAACGAGTACTCTTGAGGCATCAGACTCTAGCGTAACACTCGGCTGTTAAGTTCTTTCGCCTTGTTTAGCTATTGTAAAGGATGGTTGGTCGTCTGAACAACAAAATGCGTTCCATACAAATGCACACGAACTTTTTCTATTACCCAAACCATGACCCAGGAATGTTATTGTCCTCATACGGACTTCGCACTTCATGTGTTTACTGTAATACCGGCTTGTCGCATTCTCTCAAAAAACTGCTTTAACGCCTCCACATGTTCTCAAATTTCCTTGCAAATACGCTCCCAAAAATGCATAACCCGAGGTATATTACTAGGAACAAATACTAACGACAAATTATTACAGTTCATTCTACTTTGCACTCCTCTCAATCGTAATGAATGAATCGTAATGAAGAATCATTTGAATCCACTACGCTTCTTCTAACGCTCGGTGATAATGCCCGCCATCGTACCAAAGCACTTCATACGCGACGAAGAATTTCCTGGCAGTTCTCGATCACAGTGCCTTCCGGACCAGTTCGTCGAACGTCTTCTTCATGAGCTCCGGGTGCATCTTGTCTGTGCCGTCGCGTATCCGGCGCTCTTCTCCTCCATGTCTAGCCTTCTGACCTTGACCGCCACCTCTGCTTCAAACTTGGTCCTCTCAAAGGCCAGCCGCTCTTCGTCGAGCTTGAGCCTTCGCTCCTCAAGCTGCAGTTCTCTTTCCTGGATCATTTGTTCCCGGTCCACTTGCCTTTCAAGGAACTCCTGCCGTCCATGCTGACACTTCCTCTTGGCCTTTCCATTTCCGTGCTCTATGGTGTGCTCTCCGGGCGAGACGGAAGGGTCGGCTCCTGCCAGGCTGTAGCCCTTGATGAACTCGGTCGGGACGCTGTCGTGAGGATCTACCTCCGGCACGGGGTAGTTATCGGTCGGGCCCAGTGGCGAAACCACCGTTTGGGCCTCAGGGTCCCTCTTTTTGAGGCGCGGCCTCGGGTAGAGCACTCTGCGGGGCTTGGGGCACACCGGCTTCTTCATGTCGAAGACCTGCTGCAGCAGCTTCTCCTTCTCCAGGTACTGCTCGTGAGTGGTTGACCTGCTTTTGAAGCGCTCCTTGGCATCGGTGTAACCCCGCTGCGAGAGCCGCAGGTCCCCCCGTTCCCTGGCACTCCCACCGTTACTAAGTTGGTTTAGCCTACTCGGCATACTACCGTCGACGGCAGCGACGACTTCACCTTCCGCGTCAGACACCTCCTTCAGGGTTTGTTCGGTCGAGTCTTTCGCTCCATGAATATTCCCCACAATAACGTCATACAGAGGATGGTCCATACACTTGACAGTTACCTGTCCCGTTAGGAACGGCGACACAAGACGAATGTTTGCCTCTGGCAACATCAGACACGTCCCGTTTACTAAAAATACGGGACTGACTTTGCCAGTAAAATATTCAGATGCGACCAGTTCCCGGCGCACTATCACGGTGTTACTCTTGGTGTCTCTCAACACCTTTACTGCTTTGCCGTTCAAAATCCCATCTGTGATTGGCATAACGTCCGCCAGAATTGGTCTCGCCTTTTCAGTCATATTCATGGTGGGCGTTCGGAAGGCGTTTCTTGTGACTTTCTTCCTTCCCCGTGAGAACGCGTCCGTCTTACCAAGAGGATACTCATCGGGTTTTACGAAACATGAAACTTCTGTCTTTCCGTTTTTTTCTTGCGGACATGATCTGGACTCGTGGCCTGACCTCTGACAGACTTGACAGAATACGCGTGTTTCTGGCTTCGATCGGCAATCTGCTGCCTTGTGGCCCAACTTACCACACAAGAAACATTTTATCTTTGGAGCGGGTTTGCTGCCCTGCGCATCTTCCTTCAGGGCATCTAAGGCTACTTTTGCCTCCCTCCTGAAATCGGCCAGATTAGGTTGGCTCTGCGCCTCCAGGAAGTGGTCCGCCATTTCAGCCAACGCCGAGACGGTCTTACAGCTTCTTTCCTTTAAGAAGACAGCGAGCCTCGGATGACAATTCCGAAGAAATTGCTCCCCAATGATCTGGTCACGAACCCCTTCATACGTTTTTGGGCATTCGTTCATACTGACCCAGCGGTCGAAGAACCCTTCTAATCTTGCAGCAAACTGGCTCCCTGTCTCTCCGTCCAATGGCTTGCTCTCCCTAAATTTCTCGCGGTACCCCTCTGCCGTGTAACGGAACCGCTGGAGCAAAGCCCTCTTCACTCTATCATAATCCAAAGAGTCTTCAGGCGACATCCTACCTATGACCTCCAGAGCTGGGCCAACCAGGCACATGCTTAGAGCAGTCGCCCACTTCTCTTGCGGCCAATCTTGCCCCTGAGCTACACGCTCAAATCTCCTCAAATACGAGTCGAGATCGTCCCTTTTGTCATCGAAGGGAGGCATAAGCTTGTGAGGACTAGGAGATAGCGATATAGATGCGCGACGTGACCCTTCACTGCCATCTGCTCGTCCTATCTCGGTTGCGCTAGCCTCTGCAAGACAAATCTTTAATTCGATAATGCGTTGCTCACTTTCTGCTTTGAGGCGCTGTGCTTCCCTCTCAGCAGCCCTCTCTTCTCGTTGGCGTGCTCGCTCCTCGTCCACCCAAGACCTCAACTCCGCTCCTGCCAGTCCCAACTCAGCGCCCAAAGACATTAACTCTTTAACCTCCATTCTGATTAATTATTGTTACGTAGAAAAACGAAGGAACAGAATATCTTGTCCTGTCGCGGACGCCAGTTAATTGTCACAGGGTTCTTTGTGGTTAATAATTGACAAGATACAATGTCCTTCGTTTTTCTTAAAACATGTATTTACAAAAGAAATCAAAGAGTTCATATGGTTATACTAAAAGAAAAAAAGGAAAACTTAGTAGAAAAAAAAAATTGTAGGAAGGAAAACGCAACTGTCACCATGTCTTTGAGTCACCATGCGCAGCAGCGGGTGTTGTGTCTGGGGCTGTCGTTGTCGGCCGACGGTTGTGGCAGGCAGTCAGGAGCGGGCGCGGTTGGCTTCCGTCGGCGGTCCCAAGAGTCACCGCAACCAGTGCTCGCGCAGTAGGAAGCCGGGCAGCGTAGGTTTCTATGCGCTGCCCTCGCTGGAACAGGCTGCTGGTCAGCAGTAGGAGGCCGCCGATTGCCCTGGCCGATGGTGTCGTTCCACCCTCTGCACGTTCTCTTCGGCCAGTCCTTTTCACGCTCTCCGAGCACGCACTCCAAAATCCCTCTTCTTCGTCATCTTCCTTTCTCCCTCTGGGCCGATCCATGGGTTGACTTGCCCTTCTTCTTTTCCACATTCAGTCACATCATCACATCTGGAAATACTGTCTAGACGGCGGGTGTAAATATGGCATTTTTCAAAATCAGCTTTTTTTTTAATTCTTTTTTCTGGGTAGTGTTTCTCCTTAAAAGGAAATAGTTCTCGTAAAAGGCCCCTGCAAAGAGATATACTAGAAGACAATCTATTTTTTTTCACAAACTGGGCTCACAATATAATGCTCGAGCTTCTAAAAAGTGTCAACATCGACCAGCCTGTAAAAAGACTTCCGGGAAGAAGTTTCATCGACCTTTCAGTTGGAAAGAAACCCTGTCACTTGCAGAATTTGTGAAAATCGGAAGTTTGCAGAAGTGGAAGGCTTGGCATCACACCGAATTATTTCTTCTGGCAGCTGGTGCTCTCTGTTGTGGAGCTGGATCCCGCAGTAGTAGATGTTGCGAGAAAATGGTACCTGCCACCCAACTGCCCCATCGACATCACCATAGATGACGGCCTGTGTGCTCTCAAAAAGTTCGCCGAGAAAGGCAAGTAATTTCATTTTTTTTTGCCAAGCAGGAACAGGTGTCATTAAGCCGCAATACTTTAGGTTTCACAGGACTTAACTTCATCTGAAATTGTTCTGAAGATATGGAAGCTGAAGTAGTGAGGCAGGCAAGCTGGTATGCTACTAGGTCCGTGATGAACACCTGACATTGAGGAAACGATCAAAGAACAGACGAACATTGAATTCTCAGATTGGTTTGTTCATTATTTTGTTCTGTCTTGGGTATCCATCTTGAAGATGGTTGCTCCTAAACATTAAATTGTACTCGGGGAAGGGCAAACCCACTGCAGTCCGAAGAAGCCTTAGTATTATAGCACATTCGAAATGTCAAGTTCAGGCAGCAACTCAAAAACTTCCGTACTTGCTGAAAGCACCGTGTCATATGCATACATACATGCATGTAATCAATAAAGCAGCAGCTTAGCACAACTAAAAACGAGAGATGCATTTTGGAAAGACTGCTGGGTTGAAGACCAATTAAGCGTAATGTTTATTTTGGGTGCACTTCCATCTTGGAGCAGGGACATTAGTTAGAGACTCACCTGCTTTGTTAAATGAAGTACTGATATGAATCAATTTTGATACCAATGGCATGCAGTTGAATGAGGTATCTATTGATGTATCTGCCCGAAGAATCTATGCTATTTTTTTCAAACACAGCAACTCCGTCATTGCAGGGAAGGTCTTCGACGTGATATTCTTGGACGTGGACAGCAAGGATCTATCCAAAGGATTGACCTGTCCTCCCGCATCATTCTTAGAAGAGGCTGCTCTGAAATGTCTTGCGGCCATAACAGCACCCACTGGCAAGTCCTCGTTTTGTTTTTAGTACGACACTGGCCATTTGATTTGTTCTTTTCTCGAGGTTGTTGAATACCCCTTCCTGCTACCTTGCCTTAGGGAATGACGCAAGACTTGTTCAACAACACAGTTATTTATTGACTGCCGTCATAACATGCCGCAACCCAAAAGCCCAGGCGCTTACTTCTACGTTGGGCTTTTATAGACAGTGGAGTGCCGTTCGCGTGGCCGATGGCACATGGTCACTTTTCAGTGGAGATGGCCAGAGAATTAATAAGCGAGCAAGCTGGTTTAACGATTTGAGTCGCCAGGTTGCCCACGAGGTATGCCACAAGCATACAAGAGGAACCACTGGAAGCCTGTGCAAGTCGTAAATTAAAGTTGTGGAACCGAATGACAACAGTACCCGCATACCCAACAGAGACGAAGAGAGAGAAACCTTTAGAAACTGGAAAACACCAATTCCTAGGTTCCTCTTACCTCGCCAACCCAAACTGCGAGGCGTTGCTGCACTTCACGACTGTTGTTACAGCCAGATCCCACCAATCCGTACCTTTGTACGATTGATTGATTTTTTTTCGTTGCCTGCCCAACGGCTTACAAGTGCAGCAACATCTGACAATACCTATAACATCAGTACATTCGAAGAAATGATGTAACACTCAACAAAAATTTAAACTTTTACAAATTGTGAATTGCGCATTTTTTAAAATGTGCATAGGGAGATCTATGGCAAAGGTGGGCCATGCCAAGCTAACTGAAGGTTTCCTATCGTTTTGTATGGACTTATTGTACCCCAGACAATGTTCACCAAAGTTCTAGTACAAACAATGATTTCTTATCCCCTGCATCAATTAAAATCAGGTCAACTAGGTAACCTTACCAGCGCCACTGCACAAATGGCAGGAGTGACGGAAAACACAGCTGATGTGTTGGTCCCGCTTGGCTGCCTACCACTCTCTCACTCAACTCTGGCTATCCGGTTCTCATGACTCGGGTTTTGACTTCATTAATTTTTGCCAGTGTTTGTGCATGCTGCGTTTAGTTAAATAAATATTTATTAGAAGTCTGGCCACTATCAAGCCATTCTGGAAGGTGGAAAATGCTGTTTTTAGAAAGTGTTTGTCTTCAGTTTTTCTTTATAGGTGAATTAGAGAAAGATGGACAGTGGCGATGTTTTACATTCTTAAATTTCAGATTAAAAAATTACTACTCTTTTCTCGACAGGTGTAGCTGTTGTGAACTTCGTGTGCCGCAACGAAGCTTTGAAGAGTGACGTGTACGAAAGCCTCAAGCTCCACTTCTCCAGCGTTCTTGTCCGGGAAATACCCGACGACGTCAATGAGGTGCTCTATCTTAAGCACAAAAAGCAAGCACTCGACGGCGGGGAACTCTTGGGCAGTCTGAAGACGCTGAACAACCTCATCAGAGACTCCGAAAACTCCAACGACATATTGGACCTTTTTGGTGAATTAAAGATTTCCTAAAGCCTTCCTTTCTTGTGTTTGAAGTACCCATTGTTGATAAGTTATGCAAATCCCCCAGCTCTTGAGAGAGTCTCAAGATAAATTAAGATTGCTCTCACGAAGGTGCTACATAGTGAACCCCACAGCAATATTTGTCTTCTTTGGTATAAGCAACAAACTTGCTATTTTTTCCAAAGTAACACTGTCCTCTTGTAAAGTAGCAGCAAGGCAGCAAACAGCTTTATTTTGCTCAGTCATGTTTAAAGGAATGGGATAAATATATTACATGCAACATGCTACTCCCTGAATGCCAGGCACGAAAGTGACATGTCTCGTAAACTCTGAAAGAGGCACGTTGGATTATTTTCTGGAGCCCGCGGCGGAATACGCCCGCTAACGTCAGCAGGCATTGATGTGACTGTCTCTCGTGGCCGTGTCTGCCAATGCAATCTTTGGAGCGGCCTCGCGCAGGATGGCCTCGTGTGCATCCTTGCACGAATAGTGGACCACGGCACCGTCCGGAAACCTTGCAAAGGCACTCTTGCCGATTCTCTTCTGGCAGATTCCGCACGAGTCTAGCTCAGCAATGACCAGCTTGATCGACTTGCAGCGCATCCATCGCTCCTGCACCTGCAGGTTCTCGGCAAAGAGCAGCGATTTGTATAGTTCCGCGTCGTGCAGCTTCCTGCTCCTCCTGTCCAGGACCTTCCTGAGAAAGTCGCGCACGTCCGACACCAGGAGCTCCGGAGGCAGCAGCCGCAGCGCTCGGAGAGGGTCGATCTGGTCGGTGTGGAGCGCGAGGACCCTGAGCGCCATCTTGACGTCGCCGCCCGCTCCCCCCGGCACGAGACCATTGTTTTCCGCGTGTGGCTTGTATACGATGGGAGCGCCACCGACATGCATGCTCAAGATCTGGGAACTCGGGTTAGGTGGCTCGAGGTACATCTGAAGGAGGGTGAGGAAGACGTCTCGATTGAGCTCCGGGTTCCGCTGATACTGTTTTTGGCAGTACCGGTCCGCCTTGGTGGGGTCCCTGAGAATGCGGATGTAGATTTCCAGCGCTTCGTTGTGGCGTCCAAGTTTGCCCATCACGACGGCAGCCTCTTCAAACAGCCCATCACTCAACAGGTGCGTGGGAAAGTTTTCGGCCGTGTAGCGCTCCGAAGATTCTAGGAAACGGACCAGGTCTGCCCGCGTCTTGCCGACGGGTCCCGGATCTCCCGGATCTACGGCGACGTTCCCATTTTTTATGAGATTCCGGACCACCTCAGTGTACTTGTGGATGAGTGTGTTGTGGAACATCTCAGTTTGGTCATCCCACTGGTAAATGACATGTTCGAGGTAGGGGATGACCAGTGTGGGAGCACTCTTGGAGAGGAAGTTGAGGACAGCATGCCGCTCGAGCTCCTGCGCCTCTTTCTCCTGGAGCTCCGTAAAGATTTTGAGGCCCTCTTCGGGATACTTCGACACAACCCACTTGGAATACTCAAAGACGAGCTCGCTCTGATCCTTGCCCAGTTGCTGCAGGTAGCTGATGGCCCTCTCGGGGCCTTTCAAGACAGAGTCCGGCTTCCTCGCCTCTTCCGAGAGTAGGTCGAGAGCTTTCCTGTGCTCATTTTTCGTCTGGTAGAGGATGATGAGTTCACTCAGCTTTTGGTGTTCCTTGAGCTCCGTCTCGCATGCCTCCAGATGGCAGTAGTTGTCCGGCAGGCGGAGTAAAGAGGAAACCAGCGCAACATTGGTACGAAGATAGCACTTGAGCAAGGTTGTGTCTATGATCTGAAGGAGCTGCTTCCTGCTCTTGATGGTCTTGCTACCTTGTACAATTCCCGTCAGCGCCGGCTCGTGCTGGCTGTCAGCAAGGAGTCTACGCCTCACCTGCACTAGGTAGTCGACGAGCGCAAACAGCCCAGCCTCTCGGTCCGTGTCCCTGAGCTCAGGTATTTGGTCCGGATATTCGAGAGACCTCCTGTAGTCGGCCGGCAGGAGGTCTGGGAAAAGCCCTATCACGTGGGAGGGATCCGTTTCCAGGTCTACAAAGATGGTCATGGACTCCTCAAACTTTTTTTTGCAGAACAAGTCGAAGGCATGCAGGTTCTGTATGTGACGCTTGTAGGCAACCAGATCGACGTCTGTAGCATCCAAAAGCTCGGCCAGCTTGAGTGCGAGCTCGAAGTTCTTCTCCTTGAGCACCTGAGGGATCTGGTCCTGTATCGGAGTCCGTACGAGACACCAGATGTCGCCGCCGGACGCGATGTACAGCTGCCCATTCTTGGCGAAGACTATTAACTTTGGCTTTTGCAAGGTCACTCTCTGGATTAGCAGTCGAGGTTCAATAGTCCTAATCTCGACGCCGAACGACTGCACGCTTATGAGGTAAGGGTAGTCGTAGGAAACAGAGACGGGCGGCTCTGACCAGTTGACGGCGTACTTGTGGGTGGGCTGTCCTTCGCTGTTCACAAAGATTGTCATCTCGTCTCTGCCCAGCGCGAAGCTGTCGTCCTTCAACTTGACGCACAGCGGCTCCGGCTGCTTCCCCGTGGGAAAGAGCTGCTTCGTATCCCCGCACAGCTTGAGAATGTTGTACTCCGACCGAAAGCCAATGAGCAGCGATTCGTCGGCGCACCACACGATTGAGCGCGGGGTGTCGGGCACGCACAAGTCCTGCGGGTGTTCGCAAAAGGTGTTGTTCTTCCAGTAGAAGAGCTCCAGCTTCCGCTTGACGGCAGCGCAGAGCATGAGCGTGATCTTGACCTCTCCAGTGAGCGTAGTCTGCTTTTGAACGTTCACGGAGAACAGCGTACACCCCTTGCACTTGGCCAGCGCTGGGCAGTCGATCGGAGGCGTGTTCGGCTCTAAACTCAAATGGTTCACTGTCACCGCATTGTCCGACAAGCTGATGAGCAGCGACAGCTCGGGAATTGCACATAACTGGACGATGGGTTTCTTTGCGAAGAACTTGTTGGAGCAGCTTAAATTCACGTCGTACTTGACAATGCCGTCGGAGCTGCCTCTGGAGACCACCTTGTAGACGAGCAAGTGTCCCTGTCTCGTCCCGATCAGCAGCTTATCGTCGTAGGCTGCCGCGGATTCTATCTGCAGCGGCAGCTTTTTGAGGATCTGGGTGGGAATGTAGGCGTCGTACATGGTCACATTTGGAAGGCACTGGTGGGCACGAGCACACGCGCATAAAAACACTGAAATTTCCAGCCCCGATAAAAACAGAACTTGCGAAAGCTTCTCAGAGTTCGCCCAACAAGCCCAGCAAACCCAAAGCGAACCCGTGACTTGAGTGATGCAGGTGATGATGACACTTCTCAAGAACGTTAGAGCTCCTCTTGCGCGCGCAGTTCAAATCGGACGTTTGCGTTGCTGGTGCGTTGGCGTTTGTCTTGTCGCGTCATATGAGCGAGGCCTTTGCAGCCTTTGCCTCGTGCGGGCTTTGGAAGGAAATGGCGGCAATGCACTAAATTGAGTAGCCTTTGGAAGCAAATGGCGGTGCAGCACCCGCTCGTGGCACGTGTTTCAAGCAACGCAACAGGCTTTGCTGCGCACGCGCGCGGGGGGGGGGGGGGGGGGGGGGGGGGGCGCACTGACGGGGGGAATAGCGGGTACAATCCCCCCCCCCCCAGCGTTTTTTTTTTTTTTCGTTGACGCGGTGAGAGATAAAGGGACATTTCTGCCTGACAGGTCGGAACCTTTCCTAAATTCAGTCTGCTCGCTTCACATAGCATCATCATCGGAGCGTGCCATTTGTGTATGGCTAGGCAGAATGCATTCGTAGTACTTTGCTCTGTACCACTGAAAGCGGGTGTAGAAGAAAATGGTCCCGGAAAAACTGGTCCCAAGTGCAAAGTGGGAAAAAACTATCCCACGATCGCAGTGAAAATAAAGTACAGCAGGGTGAATTCATTGAATAAAAATAAATTCCATCAAGTAAAAAAAAAAAAACAAAAAAAACTGAAGATTGATTTTTTTTATTATTAACAAATTCACGCTGAGCCTAGAAATCTGTAATAGAAAATAAGCAAAATGTATTAGATCTTCCATTTGTCAAAATAAACACGGCAGTCACCGAAAAATCACGTTGTTTACACACGATCGAAGTATAGAAAATGTAGATTTTTGTTTCTACGATCTTTTACTAAGTGAACCAATCATTCTATACTTTTACTAAACGAATACACCACCTTATTATACCTGCGTACCTATTTACACCAAAATTTGTTTAAAAAGTTGATGGCGCTGAATTTAAGTCTGACCGCCTTCAGTTTCTCTCTGTGGATTCCATGTGCATTATTCTTATTCAATAAATGTTTAACTAATGGATAAGCATTTGAGACCTGCTAATCTGAAACTAGTGATTAAGGTTTTCTTAATGCTATTTTAATAAGTGTTGCGGGGAGTATGGGCGTACCAACCGGGGGCGCAAAGGCGTCAATCGCCTCCCCCCCCCCCCCCCCACACTTCTCTTACCTATGTGTGTGGCCGGGGGGAGGGGGGGCATGTTCGGCACCCCCCCCCCCCCCTAACAGAAAATATCCAACCATTTTTTTCACATTGTTTACGGAGGGCTTGGGGGGGAGGGAAAAAAGCAAAGTTCTATCCAGAGCTTCAGAGTAGCACACATGTTCTCGCTCTTTCTCTGGACTCGTAGCAAATTTTATTCCCGGGCCGGGGACAAGCAGTAGCATGGCGCATTTTCTAAAATTTTGAGAACAAAATACTAACGCCTCCATCCTTCAGCTTTGAAGTGAATAGAAAAAAAAAAAATTGTGTAATTTCACTACGACTCTGCTAAAAAAAAAAAGAAAAAAAAAAGAGTAGCAATCTAGGCTTACCGCAGTTTTGGGCTTACCACAGTCTTGGTCTTACCGTCTTGGACGTGTCATTTCTGCCAACTCAGGGTGGCGAATGTATCACGTGACATCGTTCCCCGCGCGTCACTGCCAGACTTGTACAAGTAACGAAATTACTCGGTATCCCTTACATTTATCAGTAATTTAGTAACGGAATAATTACCTATTTTCCAGAATAATTTTAAAGTAATTCCCTTACACTTTTACGTAACGGATTCCCTGTAATCCGTTACATTTTTTTTTCTTCAGGACCGACCCCCCCCCCCCTTCCCCCCCCCCCCCTCCTCCCCCCTAAAGAAAGGGTTGTTTTTATTTTGAAAAAGTCGAGCGCAGCGACACTGTCACGCGAATTGACCAGCGCGAAGGGAGGCTTGGCACTCTTCAGTTCCGCAAAGTCTTTTTTGCAACACCCTAGCCCCTGAATCGATTTTTTCAAGAAGGAAGTGGAAGCTCCTCCCAGCTCTTTCTACTTTAGCAGAGCGAACGCTGGGGACGAGGCGACCTCCTCTCCGGCGTTTTTATTTATAACAACAATGTCGAAAAAATTCAAATAGGCATTTCTACAAAAAAAAAAAAAAAAAAAGAAATGGGGGAAGTTATATCCGCTTTTTTAAATTCCGTTTTCTTTTTTTTTTTTTTTTTTTTGCGATTGAAGACGGGGAGAGGAGGACACCAAGTGATTGTGTGCCTCTTCGCTCGAGGCGGTAAGTGCACAGACAAGAACTAACAATGTCCTTTACGACCATTTTTATGTCACAACACCAGACAACGCTCCGTCTACCCTAAAATCCGCTGAAAGATACGTGATACTAATATGTGAAGGTGTTATTGCCACAAGCATCCTCGTTCGTTGCTGCACACTCCTCATCTCTTAGAAAACAGGATGTATTTTTTTCTGCTTCTTTCACTTTATTTGACCCTGTTTTAAAAGCTACTTACTTTTTTGTAGTCCAACTTCTAGGGTTGGCCCACTTTATTTTGAATTGCAGCCAGGTTATCTGCACCTCGTCACCCTTTTTGTGAGTCAGCTTTTTTGCGAGCACTTCGAAAATGGTAATAGTCTTCCTTACTTCTTCATGTTTTTGCCCCAGCAGGACGCATCCTATCTCAAGCAGATATTTTTAAAAATGGGATACGGTCCATTCGTCACATGCATACTCGTCACAGGACGATTGGTCACAGGACGATTCGTCACAGGACGATTCGTCACACAGGAACATTCGTTATAGGATGACTCGTCACGCGGCCAACCGGTCCCACAACAGTTCGTCCCCCCAAAAGTGTATTGTTCAGTTTGGTTCGGGCGGACAAAGTGGCTAACCTCATATCTTAGTATGTCTTTGGCTTCTGAAAGGCGAAGAATTTGTAACAAACGTTTCAGCTTCTGGTTCGGTCCCGAACATTGAATGTTGGTTCGGCATGACAAAGTGGGTCACCTCTTATCTTAGCATGTCTTTCACTTCTCAAAGTCAAAGAATTTATAACAGACGTTTTAGCTACTGGGTCCGTCCGGAACGAAACTGAGACTGCATTCAAAAGGATAGAGGTGATCGCAACAGAGAGAGGTAGAGCCATGATGCTGCACGAGGGGTACTCGTACACATTCAGCAGAAAGAATTCCGATACTTATTGGCTTTGTCAAATAGGTATATGCAAGGCAAAACTACTGATTTGGCTGCCAGTCGGATTATTGCTCGTTTAAACCAGCAACTGAAATCAACCTGCTGAAGACCCGTAATATAATGAGAGGAAAGGCGGATCAGTATTTGAGATCAGTTTTTCTAACCATTGATTTATGTGACAGTAGAAAATCGTGAAACTCCTCATCAGGGATTGTGGGCAGACTCGGTCGATGTGACCAATTGCCCGCATGACGAGTCATCCTGTGACGAATGTTTCTATGTGACGAATCGTCCTGTGACCAATTGTCCTGTGACGAGTGCGCATGTGACGAATCGTCCTCATCCCTTTAAAAATAATACATGATGCTGGCTGACGTAGATTTGATATTCTGGGCTTGAGAGGAGAGTGGAATTCGTGAGTGCGGCCATAGCGCGGCTTACTTAGTACTCTGCCCTTCGCTGCTTGTGGGATCAGCGGACATCTATCTGGAGAACACCGGAGAAAACTGCAGTCGGTTCGTGCTCCGTGCGTTTTTGAACGGCACCAAGAAAGATACACATGACAAACGTGCGTTAAAGGGACACTGACACCCCCCAAAATTTTTTTTTCATTTTTTGCCAGGCGCTTCATTATGGTGTCGGAGGACTACCCAATTAATATTTTGCAACAGAGTACCGTACTTTTTTAATAAAGCCAAAAGACGAAACTGCTCGAAACCGAAACCGAAACCCGACGGAGATCGGAGAAGTGGAGAGAAGAGAGTGAGTGGCGGAAGTCACGTGGCTACACCCGACCGTGCGTTTTTTTTTTTTTTTTCTCCTCTCCGTAGCAGACGACACGACATGCGGCGTACGGGAACTGTTCGCCGTGGCGTGCGCTTCTTTTGCAGTTATGTTTGTTCCGCTCGTTGTTCTGTACTCCAAGATCAGTTGTTTTGTACATTGAGGAGTTGGAGATGAGTAGTGAGTGCCCGTGGTGAATTTCCATGATCGGCTCCGAAAAGAATACACCCAAGATGTTGCGTGAAGAGCTGGCTCACATGTCCTGCGTCCGGAAAAAAAGGGCGTTGTGCGACAGAGTTTCCGAAAGATCAACGGGATCGGGACCAATGGCTGGCTGCAATTAATGTAGAACATATATGGGCACCTCGGAAAGCGGACGCTACCTGATTTATATGCTCCTTGCATTTTGTGGAAAGTGATTACATTGAGTTCGCAGGTGTCAAAAAGGAAATCCCATACCATTTAATTCAGCGAAGTGTCGTCCACAACATTTTTTTGCTATTTTTTTTGTTTGTTTCTTCAGTGATAATTGTAAAAAAAAAAAAAAAAAAAAAAAAAAGAATAAAAAAAATATGTAAACATCAAAAAATGTTTGAAAAAAAAATGGGTTTCACTTGTATCGGTGTTGCGCGGGCGCTCGAGCAGCAGCTCGGAGCCTGGCGCGGGCTCATGACATAAAGCACGAGAGTCAGTTTTCTTCTGGTACCGAGATGTGTGGACTCACAATCAATACATGGTGCCGAAACCCGACTGATATCTGACCGGGCGAACCTTGAAGTCCAATATGGAGATGCTGAAACCACCGGAAGGTTTATCGTTCTCAGGGAACGTCGCAGACAACTGGAAACGATTCCTTCAACGAGTGGAGCTCTTCCTTGAAGCGACCGGGTCTGATCCAGAGGTTCGAACAGACAGGCAGAAGATAGCTATCTTGCTGCACGTCGCGGGACCTGAAGCTGTCGACGTCTTCAACACATTCACTCTCACGGAAGAACAAAGGGAAAGCTTCGAGGCGGTAGTTCACAAGTTTCAAGATTATTGT